AGTATTCTCTCCGGACTCAACTGGCCCTATTTTTAATAAAGCCAGAGGAGCATCCTTTCCCTGGAGTCCTGTTAGGCTGGGGCTGCTGTTAGAACTGTCATCGTCACACAAAAGGGAAAAGGGTTGGGTTTTACAAATGTGAAGCCTAATTGGAAGAGCTTCATGGCTGTACCCCTGACATTTATTTAAGCCTCATCAACAAAACAGAAAATAACCACACTAATTAGTAGACTGGTACACAAATTGCTGTTTGCTGGGGATGCATTGTAGATTCACAGTCTATTATATAGATGAGCTAAGTAATGGAACACAGGCCTAAAACAAGAGATATTTAGATTCTTTTTCTTTTCTATTTAGCAGACACATTAATTTTTTAAATTCAAAATATTCTTCGAATTGAAATATCACCATCCCATTTTCATCTTTTGAAAATTAGATGAAAATAAAGGCTTTCACTGATAAGTCTTAATGGAAACTGGAAATACAATGTTCTTAGTACATCTAAGACTCTCCCTCCCTTTTTCCCCTTCTTTCATTAGTACTGGAGTTCCAGTCCCAGGGTGCTCTACCACTGACCTACATTTCCAACCCATTTTACTTTTTGTTTCTAGACAGGGTCTCACTAAGTTGTCCAGGCTTAGCTCAAACCTAAGAACCTCCTGCCTCAGCCTGCTGAGTAGCCGAGACTACAAGCCTACACCATCACAACTAACAAGATCATTCCTGAAGTAGGTAATCAAATAGACTACGAATATGAGTCAATTCCATATTCACTACTTAATTTTACTGACAATAAAACAACATACAAGGACCTCACAAAATTATAGAGACTTCTCAGTACAATATGCTATGGACTGCTATTCAAATCATGTACTGGTATGTACAGCCGTCATCCCTGGAGGGATGTAAAATGGAGGGAGTAATTTTAAGAGTCCCTGCTACTTTGGTGACTAGATGATTATTAGTGATTCTGAACAGTGATGTGTATTGTTATTACCACTGCAGAAAGTTAAGAGACAACTTCTTGGGAAATAGCATTATAAAGGCATTAAAAAATCGTAGACATCTTATGCAATACTGTCTGTTACGGTTTGTGTCTGGATGTTTCCCCAAAGCCCCACGTGGTCTTGAGTGGACAGCCTTTTGAAGGCAGCTGGTTCACTGCCCAGTGCTGGGAATGGCAGCGTGAGTGCTGCACCTGCCCGTGGGTGGGTAGCCTGCATACACTGTAAGGGAGGGAAAGATGTTTACTCCTCCCTTTTGCCCTTGTCACTTTTGGTATCTGCTTCAGCCACCATGAATGGTTGTCCCTCAGCTATGCCACCTGCCTTGGAACCAGCTGAATAGGGCCTGAAACCTCCACAAACTGTAATAACCTTACATAAAGTTTTCCTTTCATCTTGGGCATCAGATATCTTGTCTCAGCAATGACAGAAAGTAACCAACACACTGTCACAGGCCTTAGAGCTGCTTTAACTGCTCACTCTACTCACCCTACTTCCCTCCCTGTAGAAACAGGATTTCTACTTCTCTGGGTCAGAATTTATTGAACCAAGGGCTAATGCCTGGCCTAATTGGGATGATTACACTCTTCAAGAAGAAACTGGATTCTCGAATTTCTGTCCATTTCTAATGCCTGCTTCAACCAAAACCTGTAAGATTTATGCCAGGAGTACAGAGAAGCAAAATAGCCAAACCACAGAATGTGCAAAGGACAAGCAAAAGAGAAGACCAGACAGTGAAGGGGGAGGTAGAAAGAGTAGGGAAAGAGAGAGAAAAAGAAAGAGTTAAAGAGTAAAGGTGGGAGCATTCTTCCCTGACACATTTTCCACTTAGTCACAGGAATACATATATTCCTGCACGTGACCACCCCGAGGAATACTTCAATACTTATAATTAATGTCCTGATATTGTCTTATTTCATTTGTGTGAATTTATAAATACTATGCAGTTACATAATTCAAATGAAAGGTAACAAATTCAATTTGAATGCATGATATTCTATTTTTATAAAATAAGCCATAGTCCATAAATAGGGTACATTTCAGAGCACACACTAACTAACTGAAGGAAGTAAAAATTTTATTGATTTTAGGGAGCCTTGGGGGAAAATAGGGTGGAAAGTAGCAAGAAAGGCAATTTTTGCCAAAGAGGCAAAAATTGAACTCTTTTTGTATATATACATTTATACATATATATATGTGTATATATATATATATATATATATATATATATATATAAGTTGAAACTAAAGAATGAAATTTCAATTACAGAAAAGATACAAGTAATTAAACTATACCAAGCATCAGGTCACAAATGATTAGAGATATTACTAAAATATTTAGCTGTTAAAGTATATACACATCACTAGACATATGGATATATATATATATATATATATTTATATATAAACACACATGTATATATAAAATGGTATATATACTAGATATACATGTGTTCTGAAACTGAGATACTTCACATAAATAAGTTTTTATGAAGACATTATTGACACATGCATTCTAATTCTAAAAGTTTAACAAATTCTCCTTTATACTGAGTAGATAAATCATGATAAAATTCTTAAACAATAATCTATTTCCCTTAATTTTTGTTATAATCATTTGTCATATTTATTTGAAAACCATAAAATGTTAATGAGTGCAAATAATTATAACAAATAATAACCCTGACGATTTAGTATAAGTATACAATGGATACTATCATGTAATTTTTCTGCAACTTTATATAGCTTTTTCAGTGTATGAGGGCCACAGCAGAGAACATGTTGGAAGTTTGCTGAGAGAGCAGCTTGTAGGTGTTCCTACCGCAGTGACACAAAGAGCTGCGAAGGTGGTGGGAATGCTAATTTGCTCAATTGGAATAATCATTTCATCAAGCATATCAAAACATGCTGTGCTCCCTAATAGTATACAAAAAAAAAAAACTATCTCTAGGATTAACACAAAGTGAAACCCAGGAATCAGTAATTTATTTTATAACTGAAGTATAATAGAAATTTTATGCCATATTACAGGAAAGAAATATTGAGAAATTACAATATGAGTTGAAAATTCTCTTAACTCAAAACTGACATTTAAGGAAATAATTTCTTCAATTTAAAGCTTTACTTTTTATATGAAAACATCAAATAGGTACATAAAATCTCATTTTAATGCAAAAATGTGTTCATCATTGCAAATGTAATCATACTACATTATTAAGCCAGTATATAGTTTAAAAAAATTTTTAAGACGTTGAAGTTTTGAAAACAGAGAAGAATTCATCATACTGATGACAAGAGAAAAACCCGCAAGATCAACAACCTATCGTTAGTTTACAAGCTAATAAAACTTCTCCAGTTAATGCCAGTGGCCAGTAAAGCTTTCTACATAAGAATAATTACTCCATTGAATGGGTTATTTTAGGTCACATAATCAGTGTTCACTAATATGCTGTGATTAAGCAATTCTAACATATGGAAATAGTTCGACTTAATAAATGGAAAAATCAGAGAAAATAATTACAAAAATAGTTCCATGAGGGTGAAGAACTTTTATGTTCCCCTTCTGTATATTAATAGGTAACTAGAAGGTGGCTCCCACATTGTAGGTGTTGGACTACCAAATGAATAGGTTTTCTTTACAAAAGCCTAGAGTTTTAGTACAACTTTATTGGCCTTTTCCCATACTTAAAGACTGCTAATGTAAGTATTTGTCCCCTCCAAGCCTTAGTGTTAACAATGGAAAGAGTAATCACAGGATCTTTGGGACTGATTAGATCACAAGGGCTCCACCCCGGTGAGTGCCTCATGAAGGGGACAGTTCAGCTCCTTTTTGTTCTCTTGTCCCTGTGCTTTGCCAAATGCCAATGCCTTAACCTTGGTCTTCCCTTCTTCTATAATTTTATGTTCTTTATAAACTACTGGGTTTCAGGCATTCTATTATAGGGCACAAAGGAGAACAAGACAAAGACACATTGAAATACTACATGGCCATTTACACTTCACAGTATCTGCCTAACTGAGCAACTTATGGTGATTCTGCTTTGTTTTGTTAAGATGGCGAAAAAGCCACAATCTTTCCGTTGAAACTCTAATTCAACTTTGAATATTCCCATGCCAGAAATATGGGTGATATGCTTTGTTGTTCCTGGGTAGAGGCAGGGAGCTCTCAGCTGGTCATGCAATGATAAGGGTAAAGAGTTCCACGGTGCACTGTGTTGCTAAGCTCTGACGTTAAGTAAGTTAGGTGTGCCAAACATATTTTCAGTTATGATATTTTTAGCTGGAAAAGGTTAGAATGAATTTATGACACTATAACCCCATTGTAAGTTGTTTGGTAGTTCACTATCTAATTTCTAAAGACTGTTTCAATGATCAAATATTTATGGGTAAATTTCATTTCATTTCTGGAGTTAAGAAATCAATGGTTTCCTGTTGATTACCAAACTATTCACATTCAAAGACAACTACCTATTTAACTGTCTGTCTTCCTTAGTGGATTATAAACTCCATAATAAAATAAAGGCTGAATATATCCCTTATCTGAAAGGCTTGGAAACAGAAGTTTCAGATTCTGGATTTAGAAAGCATATATATATGGCCCAAGTCTAAACATAAAATTCACTTATGTTTCATATTCACCTGACAAACACAGCCTGAAGGTGATTTTGATATTTTTATAAATACTATAGTATGTGTTTTGAATGCAACCTGTCACACAAAGTTAAGTGTCCAATTTCCCAATTGTGGCATCATACTGACACTCAGAAAGCCTGGGCTTTTCATTTTCAGATTGAGATGCTCAACTGCAGGCAGAGGCTGCTGTCCAGAGCGCGTGCTGCCAATCACTGGCTGGCATCCACCCACCCTTCTCTTAGACCAACGCAGCAGGTTTTCTTATCATAAGATAAACATGCAGTAGGTCCAAAATTGTTCCTAACGTGTTCAGTTAAATTATACAATTTCAAAATGTGGAGGCAGATAGGATAAATGTTCTTACCTGGGCAAGTTTACGCTTCTCCAGGTTCCCTCCCTTTTCACTGTGTAATGTGTAAACTGGTGCATGCTGCACTGCACCAGAGCAGGCCCCATAAACTTCCTCATTTTCCTACATATACAAAAAATACAAAGGATTGTTTTAGAATATTCCTAAAGTTATTTGATTGACAGAGAGCATCTGATATATATGCATACAACTTTATATACTGTAAGTTTAAGAATGTATTTAGGGAGCAACTATATTTTTCTACACTATGAGTCAATGATTACCAAAATAATTTCTGGTTATTTTGGATAATTTAAATAAAATTTGTTCTAAGATAAGTTATTCTCCATTACTATGACTGGAGGTTGTATGTAGTATGTTGTCTTCAAAGGTAAAATTGAAAAAGTCAGGTATGGTGATGCATGCCTGTAATCCTGGTACTTGGGAGGGTGCGGCAGGAGAGTCACTGTGAGTTCAAGACCAGCTTTGTTTTAGAAAGTGAGCTGAATGCCAGACTGAACTGCATAGTGGGACCCTGTCTCCAAAGACCAAAAAGAAACAAAAAGGGAAAAAAGGGAAAATTCAAAACATAACAACCAATAATAAAATCTGCAAAGATATAAAGTGAAACAAAACATACACATACATACACATTAATATTCATATACTTGTAATAGTCATAGATTTAAATATAAATCCTCATATAAAATTTATTGTACATGAAGAAAAATCTACTTAAAATGCTGGAAAGAGCCTATAAAACCAAATAATGGCATTTCTAGATTAATTCTATGCCAGTGACATCTTTTTTTAAACAAAAATTTCAGCTTGAAGCAAGAATTTCAATTGTGATATCAAGGCAATCAACTTTATGAAAACAACATCCTATAAAAGTATCTTTAAAGATCTGTAAGTTCTGTGATAAAATATGCAAACAATAAAGAGATTATTCAGGGGATGCATATAGAATGCAGATAGTTGCCAGAGGGCTTGTTTCAGAAAATACATTCTTGAACAAAGGCATAAGCATATTTCAAAAGTCACTAAAATATAAATCTGATGTGGCCTATAAAGAATAAACTTCAAGCTAATACAAGAATCCAGGTAGAATAAAAAGAATATGATGTACCTTGTGTTTTAGCTTACTCTTCACTTCCTTTAATCCTAGCTTTGCATGATTTTTTGCCTGGAAAACAATAATAAAGGTTTCTGGTTTAGAATGGTTCTGTTACCATCTATAAGATAAGTATATACAACTATATTCATTGAAAATTACTACCTATTCATATTATTTAGCAAAGAAGCAGATTATAATTGAAAGTTATTTTCAGGACTACCCATTTATTTTTATTATTCCTAGGAAGACTGGTTAAAAACATGATTAGCCTCTGTTTACATATAAATATACTAAGGCTAATGGTTAGCCTATTTGGGTTCCCAAAGTATAATGAATACAAGAGGAATCAACCAAACCACTAATGCCCAGTTTTGAAGTTACAACAAATTAGGGGCAAAGAGAAATTACATCATAGCACCAAGTTATTTGAGCAAATATTTCAATTTGAAAACTCAGGCAACTATACAAGGCTTTATTAAAGTGCTTTATAGGCACACACAGATTTTTAGCAGTAAAGCCATTTGCTATTTTGTAAATAGATTTTCTGGGAAAAATTAGAAGTCGTTTAACAGCCTAAATGCTATCCTCATGTTTTGCTGGAATTTGGCACCAGTATCTGAGTGGCTCAGGCCCTACTGTGAAACCCCTGAAATTTAACTTAAGAAAACTGGGGCTTCATAAAAGCCTCAATCTTTGTGTCACTTGAAATTTTCATTCATAATGGTCAGAGTAGAAAAAAAAATAATAAAGAAAAAAAAAAAAGGAATTCACATTTATTTTGTGTTTTCCAAACACAAAACTGTGTGCTGGGTGTGTAGCATGCATTATCACATTTAGCCTTTACAACAACTCTATCACTGTCATACTTTATAAGTAAGCATTGTGGCTCAGAAAATAGATCATAGCTTAGATTCAAAGCTAAGTCTATTTAATTACAAAGTCCAGTACCTTCTCTTCTCAACAAGGAAGGAGGAAAAACTTGAAAAACATACCTAGTGAGTTTAAGTCTCACCAAAAAGAAGGCTCTTGAGTTTCATTCACAGACCCAGAAACTGATGACAAGCAAACTCAAAAACTCTTGCTCAGACTAACCCATCCTGATCTATTGAGATGCTTCTAGAAATGTAAATCATGACTTTCCCAAGTTCTTTATTTCTTTTCTACTCATATCTTTAGTACCCAGTAGTAATGCATAGAGTAGCTGTTCAAGGAATATTTTGAACTGAATGAAAAAATCATTCATTGTAACTGAAGCAAAACTAAAATATTATACTTACTAAAAGATAATCTAAACAAACAACACTAAATTTTAGCCTTCGGCTTTTCAGAGTTTTATAAAGCACTGTCATATTCATTATTTTATTTGAAAAGCCACTGGAAGTCTTAGAATAATGCCTACATTTCCTTTATATAGGAAATACATAATTATCAAGCAAAATGCTTCTGTTCCCATCTCCTAAAATGTGTACCCATGCATGCTTTGTTTATGTTTGGAGTATATTCTGGTTTACCCAAATATCCTCTTTTTCACTTGATCAACTAATGTTTTTAGATGTTCTTTAGTGAACAGACTGGAATCCACTGTTAGGCGGGTGGTCCTTCAGCATGTGTGCTAATTAATTTAAACGCTTATTGTCCTACCTCTTTCCTGGATGTCTTTCCTATTACCTGGAAGATGGAATACAGGTTCTTTCCCTCTTTTTCATTTTACCAAGATGAAATATAACAATATATGACAAGCATTCTCTATATAAATGTATCAAGCAGATAGCTTTGACCAAAGGCTTAACAAAAAGAAGACTTAGGTCTCTCTCAGGTAAATGTGCACTTTGCTTTGTTGTGATTCTTGGACTTATGAGAGCATGCTTATCACCTCTAATTTTTTTATCGCCATGGTAGCCATATAAAAACATAAGCACATAAAGCATAGGAAACAATATCTAGGCATAGAAATCAGTATTTAAAAATGCTGTAAGCATAGAACAAAATTGTAATTCACCTCAACGAACACATATTTAGTACTTCTGTAGCATATTCAAAGCATATAGCAAAGCAATGGGGATAAAAATAGAAAACCTGGGACAGTGTCTTTCTTACCTTACATACTCTAACTCTGACATGAGCAAAAGGCCTAATTCATGACAGATTCTTCATTTGTTAAACAAATTGAAATCAAGGTAAATGCTTGGCCTTCACTTTTGAAAAAATTTACCATTTGCAGAAAATCAAGGTGCACACAGTTTGTTATACACACATAATAGAAACTGGAAGTTTTGCTCATTGCAATTTGTAGTCAAAGAACAAATACGAGCAGTCTGGAAAGATAAGTTTTAGGTAAAACCATAAAGGTCATGAAATGACTGATTCCTGCCTGAAATCTCAAATTGCAGGCATAATCACAACAGAAATGATACAAGGAATTCGATCTTAATTAGTCTGAAATAAAATGAAAGAATAATCCTAAAAAACGTAAAATTTTTAACTTGGAAAGATTTTTATTGCCTTGCAGAGAATGCTTCAAACAGAACATTCTTCTGATTACAGGGACAAAAATTGCAAATAATGAATAAAGCTTTCAACAAGCTTGCTTTCTTATTGTACTCTTATGAAATATTTGAGTAAAATTAGGGGAAGAAACATAGTCTATAAAACAACACAACAGCATTAATGTTTAAAAAATTCTTCAAGTCCGTGCTTCAGGAATAAAATGAGGGCCTACTGACTGCTACACCTTTTGCAGAAACTTAATTTTTGTGTGTATGAAAAACAAGGCTCAACATTAATTGAGTTTTTCACTTGGCAGCCGTGTGCTATTTCATTGTGAAAATTTAAACCTACTCTCTAGAGATAGTTATCTATGGAGGGAGATTTCTTAGTAAAGTTATAGGAAAACCAAACAGCAGAGGCTAATGTTCCTAAGGCAAATAATTATTTTTGAATGTTGGTATTGTATATTTGAATTAACTCTATAGATTATCTTCTCTACTATAAAATGCAATCTTCAAAATAGATTTTTTTAAACAAAAAGTAACTGCATGTATATTGTAGATGTAAGTCAAGGAAAAAAACAAAAGGTCTAAATATTTATTAAAATATTTTATTAGTCCATCACATTAACTTATTTGCTGAGATAATTTAGAGACAAATTCTCATCAAATCACAAGTACTGGCCTAAATATTTTTATAAATATAGACTATATAAGACCTATTGAATTTCAAAAACTGTTTTGAATGAATATCATTCCAAAGTTTCCCCACAAGGAGCTACCAGTCTAGTACTAAAAATAAAAACACACAGAAGCAAAGGTAGTAATGAAACAAGTTCTCAGAGTTCCTGTAGGGATGTAGAAATAGCTATATAAGTTTTTCTCCGAAGGGCTGGGAAAAATTTTTGGAAAGGAAACCAATGTTTGAACTATCTCATAGGAGAAGCCAATGTTCACTAGGTAGCTACTGAGCAAAAACAGAGTTTCAAGTGTTAGGAAAAACTCGAGCAAGGATGAGGACAGAAGAAGGTATCTTGCATTAAAGAAACAAGGAGCACTAGCTATTTTTAGAGGTCTGTAAGCTGCAGAGGAACAGGGTGAAATGGAACAGGACAGAGAAAGGAACAGACCTTGAAGGCTCTTGGTCATCATATGAAAGATTTTTATTTTATTGCTTATTTAATATTATTGTTATTAATGTAACATAAACTATGGCAAATCTCTAAAATTTTTAAATATGCAGAGTCAGTGCATCTTTGAGGGAAGAAATATTACCGTATCTGTTTATTTTTTCCCATTTTAGCCTCAAGTACATGATGAAAATTTAAAATGTATTGTTTTATGAAAGAACTGAATTTACAAAAGGGTACCTGACTGTGAACTGTTTCAATTTGATGTGTGATTTTTTGGTAGCTTTGAAACAAAAAAGAAATCTTTTAAGGTTATATAAAGGAAATATTGTTTCTCTATCAACAAACGAATTTTAATAAATGAATTTGGGTTGGTTAATATTAACTCTAAGCATTAAAAATGGTAAATATTTTGAATTTACACATCTAGTTTCTAGAGGAATGCACAGTTTTAGCAATAGAATTTATAACAAAATAAAACTTACAAATTTATATGCTGTCCGTACAGCAGGAGTTGCTTTGGTCACTGCTGTGTTGAATAGTGCACCTCCTTTCTGGAAAAGAAAAAACAAGCATATTTTCAAAAACTTTTGACAAATTGTCCTAAAAACAAAGCAGCAATAGTAACATAGAATAAGAACCTTATTCTTAAGTTAAATAGAACTATAAAAATTATTTCATGTTTAATGTTTTTAAAGTTTTTCTATAATAATTTAGAACAAAATTTGAATGTTTCATTTTGTTCTTTTAGTTGACATAACACATTACTTAAAATGATTTCATCTTTCAATTTAGCTAGATGAGTAATATAGATAGTAATATAGTACATATGTATATATATATAGCATAATAAAAAATACAAGATTTATCAGAGGTTTCAGTATTCAGATCTTGATAAAGTCAAATTACGGAAGAAATGTTTCATATAAAAATATTAACCAAACAATGTTATTAGAAATTACAACGTTTCCATCAAATCCTATTAATGTATTTAATTTCTTGTTCTGTAATATAACATAAAGTGACAACGAATCCTTGCTTCCCAAATCAAGCTACTTATCTCTGAATAAAAGTTTCAATTAAAATCATCATGATTATCAACAAACTATAAGCATAACAGAGGTATCCAAATTATGAGAATATAAACTCATTTCAAATATTACAAATAAACATTGTAACTATAAATAGCACACTTTATTCAATATTTCTCCATAATTACCACTATGAAAGAAGAGACGTCAAAGATTTCATGTTACCTTAACAGTATGCACCCACTGTTGATATGACCTTGGATTCCCTGGAATACATAAAAGTTCCCAGGAACATATGATCAAAAATAAGTCCATAAATCATCATCTTAAGAAATCACAGTTTCAGCATTTTAGCAGGCAAGTTTTAATTCCAGTATTGTAAAAGAATTACTTCAAGGAACACAGTAATTAGCACTTTTAAAAACAGACAATAATGTGTTCTTCATTGACTTATCAAGCTAATATATCACTTTATATTCTTTAATGTTAGTATTATTCCTCAAGGGAAAATGTAACCTCTCTTTTGAAATCTAAAATTCCCATGCTTTTGAAACTGACTTGTCAATATTTGAAGCTTATATTATTTTGCGAAGGCTTTCTTCTTTTACACAGTTAGGCTTACTTCAAATAATAGTTCAAATGCATAAAGAATATATTTTTTAAAAAGTATCAGTCTGCTGTTACAAAATAGAGGCAGGATGATTCTGGCCCAAGAATATTTTTGTAGCTGTCTCCCAGCTTTAGTTTCACGTTTCTACTGAAAATTTTTCTCTAATTTAAAAAAAATTTCAAGAAACAACTTTCTGATAAACAAATTTTTACTACTCAGCATGGCATTGTGTGTTCTTTTGGAGAAAGAAATTTAAAAGAAAGTAATATTTTTTTCTTCATCAAATTATTATAGCAAAATGTACTTACCTAAAGTAACATATATAAAAGTAAAATGATTGTTTAAATGTCACTAGAGCTCCAGGTGGCATTGGTCTGACCAAAATTTTAAAGGTATATTTATTTTCCTTTAAAAATAATGACAAATTCCAAGTTTTCCTATCAATTTCTCAGATTTTAACAAAAGAAAATACTACCTCTCTTCATTCATCCAGATAATTTACTTTACTTCTTTATTCAAAGTTCTCACCTGTTCATTTTTTTTTTTTACTTCTTTAATAAAAATGGTTGACTAGAAATCACATATTTTAAGACTTAGATATTACAGTTATTCTTAGAGGGTTTTATTTTTTTTTTCCAAAATGTGTTTTCAGATAGCAGAAATGGTAACAGTATGATACGATTCTGGAGCATATGTCAACCCAGAAAAATACTTAAATACTTGAACTACAAAGAGAATGTCTACTAAAAAATTTCAGAAGTGTCATAAAAATAGAATTGACAAATATAAAAGTTCATATTCAGCTCTTTAGGGGTCATGAAATGTGTTTACCTATATTACATTATTTGACTTGTATTTCTGAACTGTAAAATAGGCAAAGCAGAGAGGGCCACAGGCAGCACAGGAAAGAGGTCTTCAGAGTTTAAAGGGCCTTTGGAGCTCACGCTCCATCTGTGAATGATGTGATTTGGGACGAGATACTTCATCACGCTGAGCCTCAGCTTCTTCACTCACGAAATACACCAAACAGTGACTGCCATTTAGAATTATTGCCAGAATGAAAGATAGTGATTATACAATGTGTAGTATGGTCCCCAATACATCTTGGGAACACCATAAATATTAATTATTCTAAGTAACTTGCCAGATAAAGAAATGGGGCTCTGAGGTGATATATTATTTGCTTTGGAAGGCTAGCAAGTAAGAAAGTATATGAATCTAGGTATTTTAATTCATGGCTTATTATTCCTTCAACTCTTAAAATACTACCTCTAAGATTACTTAAAAATAATAAAATTTAAGTCACATAAAAGTTTTCTCTGTACCATTTTCAAAACCATCACATTAGAAAAGAGATAAGATTGCTCCTTGAAAGGAAAGGAAATAAAAACATTTGACAGTAATATCTAGAAATATAAAGTATGAGGACAAAGAGGAACTCCCTAGGAAAAAACACAGTATTTAAGATTATAGGGAAATGTGGTAAAACATGTTTCAAAAATAGCTTCTTAGTTTTGAAATTTTAAGGGCTGTCTCCAAATATAAATGTTCCTATGATTTAAGGTTTCTGTCCCCACAAAACTTCTGAGAGTAGCACATGATCCTCTGGTAAAATGAAAAAAATGAGGCCACTTTTCCCCTAAATATTCATTTGAATGCTAAAGTAATTCCTCAGTCTTTCTTTTAAGTTAACGATCTTATGACAATTAATAAGCATATTTGAGGATATAACATTATTCTTGTTAAACAACTGACTTTGTCATACTCAAGGGAAAGAATTTTGATTTTTCATTTGTGCCAATATTTTCTTCTAAATCTATTTGAAACCCTAGTAATTTGTAAATATTTATTAAAAGACAAAGTGGTCTACATTATCCAATGTGGCCAGAGAAATGTCCCTAAAACTGGCAAATGCCTACCACTTTTTCAAACCCTTTAATAATGTAGTTAGTAAAAAGAAACAAATAAAAGACTCACCCGTTTATATAAGGAAACTAATGAAGAAGCATATGCTATTAATAAATATACACATAGTTGTATAAAAGCAACCTGAAAATATTTCTCCTTTCCAAAGTTTACACAATTTGATCTGGATTTAAGAACTAGTTTTATTTTAACTGAAAAATATATATATATATTTGAAAAATCATGTTCTTAACAGAATGTTCCTTGGTGACTTTTTCATAGATTAACATTTGTATTTACTGAGTCCTTTGTTCTCAGGTTCTCTTTTATCACCCTGTAATCTCCATGGGTATTCTTTTACACATTTCCTTATGTCTTTACTATTTTCCTTTTAAGCTAAGGTTGAATATTCTGCGAGAGTCTTATGAAAGGAATCATGTGTAAGGAAATCATGTATTTCCTGAATAGTCCCCATGGGACAGAAAAAAATTTTGGAAAATCTCCATACAGTCACAGATTTTTACAGCTCTAGATTCAAATGATATTTAAGATGTTCTGTATCTGACTGTGTTGAATTTTTAATTAGAAACATAACTGTAAAATATTACCATACTCATTAAGTTTATCATGACCATGGACATTAGCAAAAATAGTGTACAAACTACTATACACTGATGTATAAAAACAGAACATATAACTTTTCCATAAAGTTTCCTATTTCTGTTTAACAGAATAAAATTTCCCCTTCAGTTTTTGTGATTGTTGGTTTATTATATAGTGATCTTTCCTAAGCTTTATGTGTAAGAGAAATATTTAAAAGAAGAGACAGAAGTTTTGCTTGTATTTGATCATATTAGGGAGGGTCTGAGTAAAACTATTTATAAATGTTTTCTTAGTAAGATCCTAATATTTAAATATCAGTGTGTTACAGCTGTTAAGCAAGAGCTCTGAAGCAAGGAGACACATGTTGAGTTCAGGTTCTGCCTTCTACTTGCTGTGTAACCTTAAATGAACTGCTCAGTTGAGAGGCCCCTCCTCCAAAATGAGATGATCAACTGGCCTTCTAGATTGTTATAAAGTGCAAGTGAAATATTATAGATCTCTTATGTGACTTTCTGACCCATATTAGTGCTCAATAAATAATACTAAAATTATTACTTGAGAATCACAATGTTAAATTTGTTTTCTTCTTAGAAGAACAGGTGAACATCACAACACAGACACATTCTTTCCATAAGTATAGTCTCTATGACAAGTTTGGAGTAGAATACTTTTGGAAATACACACACACAAACATACATATAAGAACATATATCCTACACAGACAGATACATATCCCAATTAGTATTTAGAGAAACATTACTAATTTTTACTAGTTTATTTATTTTTCCCGTTTTAAATCCTAATAATATGCTTTCTTTTCTTTTAGAAGTAATTTCCATACATATCTAAAATAGAATTAAAAATAACATTTGACAAGCATAATTTTTGAGGTAATTTCTTGTTCATGGAAGTTAACGATGGTAAAACCATCTCTTTGGGTAAGTCTTTGTTACTTAAAATTAAAATGAATTTAAAACCTTTTTCATCGCAATAAAGAGCAAAAAGCAATTGTCATTAAGTTGTACTAAAATACAGCAGTGTCTAAGTCAGAAGACAATACTCCCTTTCTGTTTCTTTGAACAGTAAAACCTTTAATAAAAATTTCTAGTTACCCTCTTCCAACATACACACACACACACACACACACACACACACACACACACACACACGACATCTCCCTGTATTATACAAGCATCCAGCTAGATGGTTAAGACTATGGAATTTAATTGCACAAAAGGACCATACTTCTACCCCATTACTGTCACAAGATGTCATCTTCAATTCTATAGAAGCTACTAGCCCCACGGGTCATAAAGATAATGAGATAGCAGTTATGTAAATACTGAATAGATGGCTCAAACAATTTGTCCATGAGCTGACAATATTTTGCTTTTCAGAGTTGTAAAGCAAAAAAGTGTTATTTTAACACCAAAGTTCCATTTGAAGGTAACTCTTAATCCATAAGCTGAGGAAATGATGGAACTAAATGATTCGACATTCTGCTTTTTGCTAAGTAAATTTATTCCCTAAACTAAATACTTTCAATGAAATGTACTTATATCAGATGAAAGTCTAAGACTGCTAAATTCATTTGTATTTATTTTAATGAACAAATGATCTCTATATATTTTCTATATTTTCATAGTGTGAAAATAATTCTTAGTTAAGAATAAATTTAAATTTGTGAAATTGTAGATGATTACTGATTTCTTTTTATATTTTCATATTTTGTTCTAAAGGCTAGGGACTTTATACATGTATAGATGAAAATCTTTTCCTTTCTTTCCTTCCTCTCTCTCTCCCTTCCTCCCCTTTTGCCTCCCTCCCTCTCTCTCTCTCTCTCTGTCTCTCTCTCTCTCTCCTTTCTTTTTGAGGTAGGGTCTTACTACGTGTAACCCAAGGAGGGGCTTGAATTTTAAGCAATCTTATTGTCTCAGCTTCCCAAGTCTGACATTACAGGCATCTACCACCACACCTGGGAGAGGTAGAAAAACACTATTATAACAGGTCAAAATTAACATGCTAAAGTAATTTTTATTTCTTTCATTCACCTAGTATTTAGAAAGTACATAGTACACACCAAGAAATATTTCTTAAGTGAATGGACAGAACACTACAAGGATTCAAAAAAAATTCTCTGCAAGCCAAAGTAATATACAAGAATAACAGTGCATAAAATACTGATTTGTAGGTCATTAATTGCCTATATAATTATAACACTGAATATTTATGTTTGAAGAATTAATTAGATTTGTGGGATGGTAATATTAAAACCTTCCTAAAGCTGCAGTATTAGTGTTCAAATATTTTTTGGATTAGATTACAATGTATTATTTCAACTGTAATCTCAGTTTTTAAATTCATACTCAGTTATGGCTATTGTCATTAGTCATTTTCAAGCAGAGACTATGGCTTTTCAGGAGGAAAGTTTAAAGGGTATAAACTGACTGGATTTCTGTGTTACTTTTGATAATATTATGAGACCATATAAGCAAATAGCTACCAATTTATGAGACAATCTTAATGCTAATAATAACAGATATGAAGCAAAACAAGTTGACACCATATTTCTTATAAGATATTATATACTTAGGAGAAAATCATTGTATATGAAATAGATTACATCAGACACAAGTTGAAAAGTCGAGACAACTGCTATTTAAAAGACAGATAATCATACTCTAAATATTCCATACCTCCACAAAAACCACCTGATGTGATCTCTTCTTCAAATACATCAGAGAAACCCCTTCCAGCATTTAGTTTTGCCAGTCGACCATCAATAAACTGAAATTTGTAAGTATCAAATATGTTAATTTTTCATGTTTCATAATAAATTTTTACCTATATTAAAATATTGGCATAAGGTATCTATATAATTATGCATATATCTGATGTATACAAACACACATAAGAAATTTCTCAAACAAAGCAAAGAGCAGGTGCTCAGTAAACAAGAGTTAATCAGTTAAATTACAAAGGTCCAGTATAGACTTTAACTCATTAAAAGAAATGGCAAAGTACAGCAGCAAAGGTCACAGGCTGCAGGCAGGCTGCCTGGCACATGTCTCTGCAGAAGGATCTGCACAAAAGCACTGCTGACTTCTCAAGCTGTTTATCCAGGAGGCTGTATCCGCCTTCCCCTGGCCTCAGCTCTCCCAGTACCTGCCTCATGGTGTTGCTGCAAACATGAAATGAGATTAATGTAGATTACATGCTTAGTACAGTCTCTGTCACAGAAAACATCCAAAAATGTTGTATATTATTTCTCAAGATTAGTATTAATTTCAATGAAAAAATACCACTCCTTCTCTAAACTATGAAGCCTTAATGCAAAACAGAAAACCAGAAAATTTTAATCATTAACAAGAAAATAAACACAACTTTCATAATTTCTGGCATATGTGCTGACTGATTAGGAGTTCTTTAAAGAATCCTATGCATGTCAAGGCAGTATGTGTTGAAATAACAGTATGTGTTGACATGCATAAGGATCTTTTAAATAATACTTTTCAGTACTTTTAAAGAAGAGATTCGAGTAAAAAGGAAAAGTTATTCATAAACACTTCCCTCAAATCCCTTGTCAAATATAACTACCCACCACCTGTCCTGTCCCATTCCCACACAGCGGGTATCACTGCCTTGTAGCATCTGCACTGCATTTAAAAAATACTCGAAGTGTATTCATATGACCAACTAGAGGTGAAGAATCCATCATGTAATCAAATGTATATATATTACTAGAATTTCATTATTTTATTTTGTTGATATGCCACATCTACAAAAACTAAGGTGTCTAAAGTTTCCTTGCATAAGAAGTAGTAGTTAACATAGAGAAGATTTAGATGCTTTTTGGAGGGGAGACAAAGATTTGATAATAACACAAGGTATTCATATTCATTCTAAAATTAACCCTAATTTTTACTATAGAAATTAAAATTTTAATTACATTAAAATAAAGTTGCTTCACTTAAAAAACCTTGAAGACTCCACTAGTTTTATATTTGACTGCTTAATGGACAAAACTAATTGGGAAGGTTTGTACAGCTAAATATAGTTTTCCTCAGGGAGAAATTTAAGATAATTAAAAACACTAAGTTATACCAGTTATAACCAACTTAAACAGTTAAATTTTCAGATAAAATCCTCTTGCAGACTAAAATTAAAAATTAATGTCAAACCAATCAATGGATTCCTGTTCAAAATGCATTTTAACTGTCTTAATTTTATCACAGTGTTTTTCAACAAAAATGTGATAATATAGGTGTAAATAAATACAGTCTAAAATAGTAGTCTGGCTTTTTTGAGCTTGAGCTGCTCTCACTGAACTCTGAATTCCGAGAATGGTGACCCCTTTATATAACCTCAGTGTGCTTGACACACAGAGTTTCCAGAAGTACAAATATACATGGAGTATGGAGTGTCAAAGGCCCACATCGCAACACTGTCACTTTTGGATTTAAGACCTTGGGCAACTTCTCTCATCTAAAACACTATTTCCCCTTCTAGAAAATGAGAATAATAAATACCTTATGGAACTTTATATGAAATAATTAAAATGATAGGAAGTGCCTGTAACTGCATAGATAGAATAAGGGCTAAATAATAAAAGTTTACTTTTCCCATTACCTTTTCCATCTTTGTCTATTTGTGAGTGGCCTGAGGAATAAATCCCTATCTTTCTCACATATGCATCAACAACACTTGGCAAAAATGCATGGCACAAGTTTTTACTGCTTTTTTTTGGGCGGGGGTGGGGGGGGGCTGGGACTGAACTCAGGACTTTGTCTCTACCACTGTAGTATATTCTGGGCCAAAAATAAATTTCAAACTGAATAAATGCTGCTCACTGAAGTATGCTGACAGGTGGCATATTTTTACCAAGTTTTAAAGTTAAATAATTATACCAGACAAAAGCAATTCACTTAATTCTATCATGAGATCACTGCTAGTAACTTAAAATACTGGTGGTTTTGCTAAGTATAATACATGGTTAATGTTAAAACATTGGCAACTTTAAATGCACGTAAAACTTGATTTGTACACGTTCTCAACACAACAGTATAAATCAAATTAAAGTGATCTAAGTTGATGGACTAAGTATCATCTTTTAAAAAACAAGGTGAAAGCAAAATGATAAATTTATAATAGTACATTACTGGCAAGTAGAACAAACTAAGGCACCCTTTTAGAAGACTTAATTTGCTCTAAAAAGATTAAGTCTATAAGACTTCTTAAAAGGTTTCATTTTTGTGTTTATTGAAAATAATCCATCCATTTTATTAAATGAGTGGAATAGTTCAAGTCTAAAAAGAGATAAATCCCCAAACTATTTACTGATCATGCATTTTTGAGCATGAGCAACCACTCTGTATTACTAAGCTAGTGATTTGAGCCAAAATAAATTAATCACTTGGTAAAATACCACATATTATCACTGACTTTCTAAACATTTCTGTCAGAGACAATCAGATACTTACCAATGTACACACAATGAAATTATGTTTGTGAAATAAAGATTACTTGCAAACATCCACATGTACTATATGTATACACACATACACATTCATACAAATACAGACATCCGGGAATAAACAGAAAAGTGATATTAAAGGACACAATACAGACAATAATACTTGTCGAAACTTCTTTTCTACTTTTGGTTCATTAACAATTATTTTTTCCTACTAACTGGAGTTGGTTTATGGTAATACCGCTCTAATAATGCTGGGTCAGTTCATAGTATGTAAGAGAGAAAAGAACATTTTAAACTATTGATGCACGGAAGTAATTTTGAATAGAAAAGTATCTGTACATAAAAGCTGTGCTATGGGCTATAACATGTTGATTAATAGTTATTTATCATTTAATAACTATGTGTCTTTATGTAACTAGAAGATGGTTTTGAATATTTTTGTAATTGAAAGTAAAGACTGGTAACTTTGTTAACAATGAAAATGATATACCTATAAGATAAAATTAGATTGTAAGCAGAATTTAAAGAACATTAAGAATTTTGTTTAACTGATGCTTTTTGCATAAAATTTGGTATTTTGCTTTTTTCTCTGAAAGAAAATTTAAAACCTAGAACTAAGCATTCTAAATGATCATACCAAAACTAAATAGTTGGAAATCTTAGAGAAATACTTGAATACATTTTCATAACATGGATTCTATGATTTTATTATAAGACAGAATATATTTAGATAACAATATATACATAATTCTCAAGTCACATCAAATATATGAATTTTCAAGATCAATGACAGTTTTCCTCTAAATCATCCACAACAGCAAGAACTAGATTTTCTTAAACTTGGTGTTAGAATCATAAAGATAATGAAGTAAATATTTTCAAAGACCAAAACTGCTCTTGTTCTTGTTTCTGAATATCACTAGGATTCTTATCACATTTTAATCTTTAAATAGCTATCTTTACACAAAATTGATCAATTTAAAGAAATTAGTGATTTAAATGTACTTTAGTAAGCACTACTATTCATGAAATGAACATTTATCTTATAAACTGATTTTTAAACTACAGTTAAATATAAAATGAATGCTTAAATAATGCCATGTAGTACAGAGAATAGGTCTGATGTCAAACTCCTTTCAAAAGTATTTTAAAAGTCTGGTGAGATTCACAGAATAAATTTGAATGTATTGGTTTTGCTAAGTGTAATACATGGTTAATGTTAAAACACTGGCAACTTTAAATGCACATAAAACTTGATTTGAGTGAGTTTGAGGTGAGTAGCCTTGTAGAAATGCATTCTTTCCTTTTGAGATAAGTTATAGGCATTCAAAAAATTATTCATCAGTCAGTGTATTTCCAGGATTTGATCTAAAAATCTAACGCAAGTTTTGCTATCACCAAAGGCTTAATGCCCTTAGTGGTCTACACATATGTTATATAAATATTTAACTGCAATCATTCCATCAAAACTCTGAGGATTATAGTAATTAAATTTCAGGGTTCTTAATATTTTTTTAAAAAGTCATTTGATTTGGGGTAGAAGGGAACTCATAAAAAAACGTACTGAGGAAACAGGGCCCATGGTGTGATTTTCTGTACCCCTAGGGAGGAGGGAAGAGGGATTACTGCTCCTTAGTGCTTCCTTCATCTTCCTGAGGAAAAGCATCAGGGATAGTGAAGCAACGCCCTCAACAAATCTATACACCCACATTCCTTCTTCAAGGAAGTTTTCCTTCCTCCAAGGAAAAATTACTAATACCTCAAAAACTTACTTCATATTTGAAACTTCTTGGTCACCAAAATAAGATAATTAAGAAAAAGTGTTGGGAACTAGAGAAAGTGTTTTAAATAAATCAAAATGTTTAGTAATTAAGAATTTTTACATACAGGAAAAATTGTTTTTAAAAATATATTAATTTCTTATGAATCTGTAAAATTTGGCTTTTTATATAACGCTTTGGACTAAGTAGCCTAATTTAAATGTTTTTTTCTTATAAATGTTTAGTAAAACTTGACGGGTTACTTAAAACTACACTAAAGTGTTGCAAGAAATTAAGTCAGCAGATATTTTTAGATACCTGCTAAATGTAAGGCATTCAGTTAGTGGCTATATGTAAGTACAAATGGCTATGCCATGTAAAGAATGAGGTAGGTCAGTTTAGAGCTCAAATCACGAACATTAAACATATGAGAAAATGGAGATAAGCTGTTACCTTTATGCCACTTCAAAAATTAGATAATTAGATGAATGCAATGTTCAAGTATATAAAATTAAAATTACCATGGTATAATGAACAGTGAACACAATGAA